TTTATAATAAAATTGAAATTGTTAATATTTGTAATATTATATTTTTATTTACTTGATTTTTATTAAAATATTTATTTAACATTGTTGCGGATGAGGTGCTTTAGCCGCGTACGAATTTGGCGCGTGCCGACACGCAGAGCTCGGCTCGCTCGTGCGCCAACGACAGCTCGCTTCGCGCGGCGGGAATCGCGACTCGGCGCCAATGGTGGCTGCCCGCACTAGTCGCCCCGACCAATCCGGCGACCTGAAAATTGCAACCTCATCCTTAAACACAAGTGTTTTCGAAAACCGTCCGATTAACGGGACCTGTTCCTTCGCGAACATCGAAGCTTCCAGACCTTCTCGCGATATAAAAGGCCTGGCGCAATTTGCCGCGGGACCATTCGCTCGACAGTTTTCGTGAGAGAGAAGTCACACGTGCGTGCGCGGATTCAGTCACTGTTCACAGTTTTTTTGTTAATTTTCGTTGTGCGTTTTAAGGAATTAAAGTGAAGCCTATGTTACATTCTGTCTTGTTTAATTCATCCGTTTAATCTTGCTCCACGTGCTCGCTCTACCCGACTCCATCATTTTTGGTCCTTCGAGCCGGATTCCGTCCTTCAAGCCCGCGCTGGGGTGACTGCCTCGCAACCGATCGTGTTCTGGTGAGCGCAGTGCCTACAAGATGGAACAGGGTGTAATGAAACAGCTCGACCTTCATGGTCGCATAGGGCGTACCTGTGACAATTTAAAGAAGACAGGACAGGCGAACATCACTCGAGCTCATATCGCGACCGCGCTCAAGCTACTCGAAGACAAGTGGACGAGATTCGAGAGCGGACACGACGCGCTGCTTTCAAATCACGCCGCCGCACTGGCGGACCACGAGTACTTGACGAGCGACGTCTCTTCAGAGGTCGAAAACACGTACGTGCATCAACGAGCCTTGCTGCTCGCTTGGGAAGCAAGCCTACCTGCCCTCGGGGAGACTAAGAAACTGCCGAGTGACTCTGCAGCAAACAAGACGACTTTACCACGCATCCAATTGCCAACCTTCAGTGGCAAGTACGAGGAATGGCCATCCTTTCGAGACCTCTTCACATCAATCATTAGCCGAGACGCCTCCCTCAGTGAGGTGGAGAAGCTACACTACTTGAAGGGGTGCCTGAAAGGAGAAGCAGAGTTACATGTCAGAGCTCTACCAACGATCGACAAAAACTTTTCTCGAGCTTGGTCAGCCCTTCAAGGTTTCTACGAAAACAAGCGGATCATGGTACGTTCCGTTTTCGCGACCTTCACATCGTTCTCCAAAATGAAGGGTGAGTCAGCGACCGAGCTACGGAAGCTATACCATTGCGTGGTAAACACGGTCGGTACGTTGGAGGGCATCGGGCGCCCGATAAACAAGTCCGAGGATCTTTTCGTGTTCCTCGCCTCCGAACTGCTCGATCCAAAGTCGCGTCGCGAATGGGAGGGGTCGTTGAACGACAACACCGATCCACCTAGCTTTGACGAGTGGCACCCGTTTGGCCACGTTAATATTGACCACAGTCCCGATTGACCACGTTACTATCGACCACGTTGTGTATGACCACGTTGATATTGACCACGTTGCAATTGACCACGGTCCCGATTGACCACGGTCCCAATTGACCACGTTGCAATTGACCACGGTCCCGATTGACCACGGTCCCGTTTGACCACGTTGCAATTGCCCA